AATAATTATGCAAGACTTTTTTTCTTTGTTGATAATAAAATATTAAAAATTATATGAATAATATATACATATAATTAATCATTAATAATATAAATAATAAAGTAAACAAGAACAAACATTATCTTCGGCGCACAGAAGTTATAATTCTCTTCACAGTTCCTTTGCTTAAAAATGAATAAATCGTACCAAATTTCGTGAATATTTTTGGTCAAATAAAAAAAAATTTCCATTCGAGAACTTGATTGTGATCTGTCATTTTGAATGGAAGATATATGCTACAGTTTTCGATATTGCAAATGAGCAGCTTCTTGGAGAGAAAAGAACGTGTGCAAAATTACAGAACGATATCTCAAAAACTTAGCGACTAGTCCGCTTATATAAGTATGGACGGACAGTCAGACGGACATGGCTGAAGTGACTGTATATGTATATATTTTATAGGGACTCTGACGTTTCCTTCTGGGTGTTACAAAATTGTGGCAAACTGTTTAGGATATAAATATCATTGACTAATTGCTCATAAATATGAAAAATGCAAATCTTTGATAAAGTCCCAGCTACAAAACATTATCAGCAACTAAATTAATAGTTACATATTTTTTATTACATATGTAATTTTCAAAGTTAATAAAATATTACTACCTACTCGCATAACGCTAACAACAGCCGCTCAATGTCATATATCATATGTGAACATAAATATTTTGCTATACATGTACATACATTTGTGCAAGCAAGCGTTTACTTGCATCATACAATTTATTAAAAGTATTTATCTACTTTGCCCATATTTGAACAATAAAAATTAAATAGCTTTATTTTGTATGTTTTTTGATCAATTAACTTACCATATGGCACCACGACAAAGAATAATCATCACACATGCAGACATACATACATACATATGGGCATATGCACATAAATACATGCGAATACTTTACGCTCGCGCGGTGCAGTTGCAGTAGCTCGAGCCCCCTGGATACATTGCTCAGTCAGAAGGTAGAGCGGAAAGTGAGGCGCCGCTGCCGGCAAACTGATATTACGCCGGCGGCATTGGCGGCAGCGCGTAGTTTGTGCCGTCAGCAGCGTGAATCATTAGTGAAAATATTTCAATTAAAGCAAGAGGCTTCCGAAATGTAAATAAATAAAACAATTACAACACATAAACACGCCGCGAACCAAACGTGAGGTCTGATAAAACTGTCCAACAACAACAACCAAAGAAGCGATAAATGTTTATAAACAGAAGCGCTCACGCGTAGATAGCAACATGCCATATGGGCAAATAAACAAGCCGCGCTTTGTATACAATGCAGTTCATTGAATTTTTTCATTCTATTTTCTTCTTTTATAAAATTCTGCGTCTCTGTTTGAATGTATGTGGGACAGGCCGAAGACGGCCTAATTTGCAGTGGATGCGTTAATTTGAGCATTTAACGATATTGCACGCGGACGCAGAATAATCATTAACCGAGAGAGGACTGCGCTTCAATGAAGATAAATAGGTGAACTGACATTTAGACACACGCACACATACAATATTGTACCATACACTGCCAGAACTGGCGTTTTGTTTACACTCACACCAGATGTTTAGATTGTGCTATAAAACTGCTTCGTTTTTGATACGAAACCGAAAATCGACACCTTTTTGAAGGTCGCTTCACATATCGCGTTTGTGATAAAAATCAATTGAGTTTACTTTTTATGGATATTTGTGGTAAATTATTGAATAGATGCCGTTGTTTACCGATGTGTGGTAACATTCTTCGGGCGAATTCTTGTAGACAGGAAAACGTTAGTGATTACATTTGGAAGCTTACAAGTCAGAAAAAATTCGTTATTTTTTGTGAATAAAATAAAAAATTTACAGAATTAAATGTATGTATGTAGTTTAATAATAATTTTGATTTTTTTTAATTCTCTTCCTGTAGTCGATTTCCAGGAGGACTCAGAAATAAGGTTACTGGCGGTAAGGAAATTTTTTTACTTCAAATTATCTCAAATCCTTAAATCAAGAAAATTTATTATTACAAAAGTGATTACACTTAATGATCGAAGGACTAGTCAAAATTTTAAATTTTAAATTTTGACAAAATGTCGGCGTCCGAAAAAATGTTTTTTTTTTTGTGTGAAAAAAATTGCACTTCAGAGTATCTTAAAAAATCGAAATTGTTTTCAAAAATCTCATTCTTTCGATAAAATAGTTAAAGTATCTAGGAAAGGCTTGTGAAAATTACAAACTGATCGGTTCAGCCGTTAAGTAAAAATTCACCAACTCTGAAAACAGTGTTTCGAGAAAAGCGCGTTTAAAGTTTTGGCAGCCGATCACAGTAAGTTAAAAAATGCTTACAAATAAATTCGTATCTCCGAAAATACTTGCCGGATCATCTTCAAACTGTCGGAGAATATTTTCAGATATATCTACATTCGAATGAATATAATCTGAAATCTTAAAAATAAAATATTGATGTCTCTATTAAGGATATACTGATCATGAATACATAAACTGTCGTTTGAACTGTTCCATAAAGTGTTGAAGAAGTATGAATTTCGGTGCGGCCATTCCCACAATCCTGATTTTATCTGCTAAAGAGCTGTCAACTCTATAGCCTTCCTTTCCTTAAAATTTAGTTGGGGAATGTTTTTTTCTGCCACAATAAAAAGAATTGCTTATCCAATTTTAAAGTCCTGAAGAGACTGTAGTTTTCCTTATCTGCATGTGATGCATTTTTATGAGAAAAAAATATTATCTGCATTGTTATAACCATAATTTTTAATCTAGGCATCCAACGCATTCGGCTCTATCGATTGGTAACATATTCAGCTAATATTTTTTTTTGTAGATAATTTCAGAAATGAAAATCCGACATGATGTCCCTATTCCCTATTTCTCGAATAATTCCCAAATTAATTAAAGAGTAATTCGAAATATTTTCCATAGACGCCACTTCACATTGAAATAATTAGTTTTCATTTTGCACATTTCAGCTCCCTTTCATTTGTATGTGTGTATAATATTGTTTTAAATACATAAGTATGCATGTACTGTGATTTCACAATTCACACTTTTCCGCCATTTAACGCATGAACAATAGAATTTCACTTTCAATTGCATCGAAATAAAGGCTTTTATTGTGGCTTTTGGCTGCAAATGACTCGCTTCATGTCAACGATAGTTCGTTTCGTAATGACATTTAATCGTCAAATGTGCGGCGAGTGTCAATTTCCCCTGGTACACGTAAGTATGTGTAATTACCAGCTAAATGGAAATGCAGACACACATTCGTACAAATATACTTGTACGTATATGAGCAAACGAAATGCAATATTTACGAAATTCACATCGAAATCACCAAAAGCGAAAAGATCGTCGATTACCGATCAACGGTCTGCGATCACAGTGATGGTAACTGCAAGGGACGCTTGACGAGAGACATTTTTTACGCTTCGCGATCGTAAAAATTTGTTTGCAGCTTCAGCCATCCATTGCAGTCAATTGAACGTGGAAGTCGCCTTAATGGGTGATGATTACTCAATGTCCCAACGCTGGCTCATTGCCGCACACTTAAGCGCATACAAACTTACAAACGTGCGTATTTATACTCGTATACTTATGCATATAGTATATAAAGTAACTGACACATGAATGCTTTATGGTTACGGGGGATGTGTGTAGTACTATATGCATGATATCCGATAATGTATGTATGTATGTGCAGGCAATAGTTTTCGTAAACGCTTGCAATTAACGTATTTTCATTTGAATGCGTTTTTGATGAACGCATATGGGCGCATTGACAGACACTCAGACAGACCTCGCACTAACACTTCAGAATGGAAAACCATGAAGTGCACTTACTTGATTACTCGCCCATCATAAAAGTGTATATTTAAGCATAAATATATTTGAGCATATCAGCATAGTGATCTCTTCAGTCAAATTAATCGATATTTTGATGTAAGAGATTGCAAATAAATGGAAAAATTAGTGTCTATTCAAAAAAGAAAATAAAAAGGTAAATGAGTAACACATAGTTGTAGTTAGTGAAGTGTGTTTATACTAAAGCGAATTTTCAGTAAATTGTAAGACCATAGCAATATGTTGCATAAAATAGAATACTTCTGTACATCTTAAATGGTTGGTAAGTATTAGTCCTGTCCGCTGTTTGGCCCCTCGACACACCAGTAACACTTTAAACTCAATTTCGATGCTTAATCGTATGACCTAATTTTTGTTACTAGTTTACTAGTTTCCAAAATTTAACTTTGTGTCAGAAACCAGTCGGTTTTGTCGATGGATCTGTCAATATGGGTCATTGCTCTTGGAGTATGTAATGTTTTTCAAAAAAATTTCCCTACTTCTTCCACTGAGAAAGAGAGAACTTGTATACGTTTTTTCATTCTATATACGAGTATGTTTGATATATAGAATAGGTCCATTGTGCTTGTTTGTTTTTATTTTAATCCATTCCATCTACCTATAGTAAGTTTCATCATTCGAAGGAGTGGAAATAAAGCTTTCGCTGCGGACTCTTTCTATCCCTACTAGCTATTTTAATTATGTTTATCTTATAAGTAGTGTATCTGTACTGAAACTGGTGTGTACGCCGACCCTTAATAAGAACATTTCATATTTCTATTATACATATACACTCAAGAGCTGTGACCCACACCAATCCATTTAAACTGCGCGCGCGAAACAAAACGTTGAATATTTTTTCCTTACGTTGCTACAAAATTTGTTCATGTGAAGTTTGATCTCCTTACATCAATTAGTGTGTGGTTAGTAGCTATTTGTTCATGATGCAAAAGGTTTGTCTGGCGATATTACCATGGCAAGGAGTTTGCCTGAAATTTTGAAGTTTCCAATGGAATCACGGGTACGAAATAATTCAAACTGTTGTAGAAGTGTTTTGGATAGTCTACTTTATCATCCTTTCTCATACCACCCACCTCTGTTAATGAGCATAACATCGAAATAATTAAAGAAACAGTGCTTTAAAAACGTTAATTTTTAATATATTTATTTCTTTATTTAAACTCCATGCATTGAAATAACTTAATTCGAAGCTACAAAACTATTTTTTGACTTAAGTTTTTCGAATTTGAAATGCCACTTATGTAATGCAAATAAATAACTGTATCTGAGTGAAAAGTATACATTTAACAAAAAAAATATATTTTGTTTTGCGTTTTTCAGTTTCACCTCTATGATTGCATAGCAAAAATGTAAACTTAATACAATGAAAAATTAATAAAATTAATTCGCATATAAATATGTATATGTGTGTATGCTAAGGAGTTGGAAAAATATGGCAAAACAATCGTAATGTTATACATACTATATATATAATATATACGAGTATATAATAATATTTCTATTAAAAATAAAAATTACAGTCTGTTTTCAATTTTATGCTAACTAAATAACTAATTCGTCCGCCAATACAACAAATGCATGTATATACCAAATATATATGTCTATATATACGTAAATATATACGCGTTTATGACTATATATGTGTATGTGTTAATGTGAAAAGTCTCTGCTTTTCTTTACAAGAATTTAATAATAATATACAATAACTGCCACTAACACAACGTCCTTTCCTTGAAAAATTCTAGTTCTCGTATTTCCTACAAACACTCCTCACACGACGCAGTCACTATCGTTGACTTGGGCAACTCGATTTCCAGCAACTTCGTGCATGTGCCCACCTCCTCGTCTTCGTCATCGAGATCGTCTTTGCCACAGCGTTGTTCCTGCATTTCAATATCCAAAGTGCCATGTTGTCGTTGGAATGAGATAAGAAAAGCGACCACCGAGACGAGCAGGAACATGAACGCAATGCTGGAGCAAACCACAATTATTAGACCGGAGCGACTGAAGATTGAGGCGGAGGTCGCTTTATTTATGCTGCGTGTAGGCAAAGGTTTACCGATGCCACCATTACTCTCAGCCGCCATATGATCGTTTAAAGTACGTCCGGCGTTGTGTGGTGGGAAGGTTTCGAAGAGTGTCGCCGCCATTGTATCGTCCAACTGTGTTAACAACATTGTGTGATGTGTCTGTGTGTTAATCGAGCGGGAACCTTTCGTTGAGGCGGTGACATCACCCTGTCCAGTACTTACGCCCACCAAAAGCGGTACTATATCTGCATCGTCCGTATTGTGGTCATCCTTATCGATTACTTCAAATTCTTTCAGCGTCGTAGATTGTTTCTCAATTGTACTGGCGGAGGTCGAAGAGATCTCACCGTTTGGTATGTGTGTTGTGCTCAGCAGTGAAATATGCATTTGTCCCGATTGCTCAGTGGTGGCAATGCTTTGCGAATTTTTCTCATTATAACCAATTTCTTTTACAATAATTGATTCCGTGGTGGAACTAATTTGCGTAATTTCGTTGGCTGGCTCTGCTGCTTTTAGGAGCGTTGATTCTTCTATGGGCTTATGAACGCTTAAAATTTGATCACCTTCATTTGTGCTTGATTTTTCTGTTTGACTTCCAATATCATTGTTTATTTCTATCAAGTATTGATTACCGTTGAGTGTATCTTCTTTCCCGTTAGACCGTGTGCTCTCTTCACTAGTTGTTGAGTTGTTGCTATTTTCTATTTCTTGACCGTCCTGCTCGCTCTCATCAATTTGATTGCTGTCTTCGTTAAGTGTATCATCTTCAATACCGTTTTGTGTATTTTCATCAACAACATCTTCATTAATGGTTTCTACAGGTTCCGAAACCGCTTTCTCGTTGATATTATCTTCTAACTCTAAACTTGTTTCCTTTGCCGCATCATCATTCTGTATACTTTGTTCATTTTCAATGTCTACATCATTTGTCAAAGTTGCAGAATACTGGACTGTGGCTTCCTCTTCCTCTAACAGTTGTTTTTGAACTATGTTACTGACGGTTGTCTCTTCTACTGTTTCAGCAATTTCCGACTCCAATATGTCCTCATCTAATTCAACACCCTGCTTTTTAATTACAATATGCACACTTTTCACACTGTCGGGTTCTATAGTCGTGGCAACTTCCTCGATTGCTAACGCGTCGCTTTCGTTTAGGTGCAAGAGATCTAATGGTAGATTTTCAGCCAAGACTGCAGTAGGTTCAGTTGCTGTGAGATTTTCATTTAAAACTATAGATAAGAATGCCTCATCCGCTGCAGCAGACGTTATCTCGGTTTCATTCAGATCCTCTGGCGAAGCATTCTCTTCCGTTGTTTCACTGGTTGTATTTTCATTTTCTATATTTGAATGATCTGGCGTTGTATTCAAGTTTTCAATTGAAGCGCTTGATGATGATACTTCATGCCTCTCAACTGACACAACCGCTGACTCATGACTACCTTCATTACCTAAGTTATTCTCTTCCACGCTTACTGAGTGCTCTTCGGTTCGAGCTTTGGTATTTTTTTCTTCCGGTTCCGTATTATCTTCTTTTGTTTGAGGTTCCGGTCCACTGCTGAACTCCTTTTGCTCTGTTAAGCCTTCTTCATCGATTTCGTTAGCCTCGTGTGAGTACAGTGCAGACTCAGATAAACGGTTTAATTTGGTTTGTAGTGAGCTCTTATCTGCATCTAATAGTCCATCGTGAGCTTCAACCTTGTCTTCCTCAATATTTTGCATGCCAACATCTCCAGTTAATATCATGTTTGTTTTGCTGCTGCCATTTAGAATTCCTGCGTTCTCATTACCATCAATACCTAGATTTCGGGCACCTCGCTGATTGTCCACAAAAGACTTGACTGTTGAAATTGCTTCCCCGGCTTGTAGGGGGAACAGTACTGAAAGGTCATTATTGGCCGTTTTTGAATGCCTCAAGGTTGTACTTTCTGTTGTCGACAGTTGATCGAGCACAGTATCTGGGGGTGTCGATGTTACTGAAATTTTAAAATTTAGAATATATTAATTGTTAGACTTTTCGAATATCGACCACAACTTACACTCTGCTAGTACATCAACCACTGCACTGGACTTGGTGCTACTCTCCTGCAACGCACTTTGAATCAACTGAACTTCGTCGCCAAGTTTTTGCCGCACCTCCTCATCCGTTACATTTTGTAGGTGCTGAACTTCGGCAGCCACAATATCTTGCTCAAATTCGATTTCGTTTCGCACGGAATTACGTATGGAATCCTCCAGATTTTCATCAAGCACAGTTTCGGGATAATCGAATTTTGAATTTACCCGAAGATCTGTAGCTACCTCTTCGCTGACAACTTGAGCAATTTCATTGGTAACATCATGTGGCGTATCCAAAGCCATTTTTGGATCGTCGTATCGTACAGCACCGGCGGTGACCGTTGTCGTTTCCGGTTCATTCACAGCGATAGGCTCGGTTACATTGCGTTGAACGTCTGCAACTGCGGTTCGATTATTGGCTAAGTGTGGTGTGTTAACCGTGGTGGAATCAATTTCACCCACTACGTCTTGTGGTGTGTTTAGTGTGGTCAAATTCACGTCGGTTATTGTCTCTGCTATAGATCGCTTTAAAACAGCTGCATTGATAGGTGTCGCTGTTAAAAAATGAAGATAATGTTATCAGATAATCAGAGAACGTAAATGAATAGAGAAGGAGCAAAGTTAAATCAGAGAACGTATATGAATAGAGAAGGAGCAAATGTTAAATGAAAACTTTTTGAGTACTAATTTGTAATTCCACAAGAGGGAACATCGAAAAGTATAACTTCGAAAAAGAAAAATACACCACACAATATGCGAAATGCTATAAATAGACACAACGAATATTCCTATATGAAAAATCGTTGCGCGTGCTTGTTTAGTTTTGTTTCTTGCGTATGACATTATATTGTGAAAGCCTTCTGAATTAAAAATCTGTATTACCTTAAAACCCAGAATTCATAATAAAATAAACATTTAATAGGCTATTTTCCAACTTATGTATGTGCGTTATGTGAGCAATTGCTTATTAAACAAAGGATAACAATAAAACGGTGGCTAAGCGGCCACATTTCCACTTTGGTGGCTGAGGTCGTAAGCGGAAGGGGTTAAGCACAATCCGAATACGGCCTATACGTTCGAATCTAAAACGATTTTATTTAATTTTTATTTTATTAATTGGAGTCTGCATATCATAATTCAATTTCTTTAATAGCATATTTTACTTCTGAGATAATTAAATATATCAGGAAATATAATATGTTCATATGTTTAGGTTTATTGAATATTTCCTTATTATGCGAATTTACACAAATGTGATAATCACATACATTCTTAAATACATACGCTGATGCTTGCTTCCTCCGCACACAAGCAATGACTTTTGTCTACGCTTTTTGCTTTGTGATTGAACGATCGCAGGCAAGGAGGGATTGGGGCGCACCGCCACAATTATTCAGATATATATTTTATTTATCGAATTCAGTTTGAAAACGATTATAGGTATGAATTTTGGTATATATATATATATAATATATATATTATATTACGAAAATAATTCATAATGCATCAGTATTTTTCAATACAAATTAAGCAACATATCAATATATTATAGAGCCCTCAGTTGACGCCTATGTGCATGGTGCAACCAACGAAATAACAGGCGAGTTCGCGCGGACATTGTGTTGTTGAAAAACAAATGACGCTTTGCCGACAAACATACATATTTAAATACATACATACAAACGAGCTCGCATACATATGACGCCAAATTTTGCGCATCGTCGGAGTTGATTGAAAATTTGTTTCAATCGACAATTTTGCGACAATTCGATCCTATGTTGTCTCGTTTGTCCTTTTGCAGGTGTTTGCTATTGAAAGTTGACTTATGCTCTTTTGAAATATTGCGATTACCAATTGGGCTGCATTTTCATAGCGTCGTATTTAGATAAAATGTAAATCAAAAACTATAAAACAATGATAATAATAAACATATAAAGTACTATATGGACTGTGCCTAGAATATATAGTAGTTAATGATTTCATATGTCTCAATTTGATATAAATTTTATAATTTAATGCCATAAATAGTGCATAATATGAAAAATATAAATATTAAACTCGAATAGGTCATGTTGCCAATTCTCCTTTCTGAAGTGAACATCAGACTTCTTCATTTCTGATTTTTAAATGTTGTGAGGAAGCAGCTTGTGGACACAAATGCGAGGGGATGTAGGATTTTCAGTGGTGGCTGTCAAATTGTAAAATTGAATTTTTCTAGTTTTACTGAAACCATTCATATTCATTCATTCTTCACTAATTTTATAAACTTAATTTCGCATTTGCGGTAGGAATTCTATATGAAAAAATGTGGTTTACCAGGCACAGAAAAATAGCGCGGCGCAGAGTTATTAACAGAGCGCACTTTGCTTTGAACAGACGCAGTTCTTATGAATGAATTTGTTGTCGTTGTAATATGAAATACTTAGAAAATAAGCCGCGAGTTCGCTTGAATATTATTGGCCGATGATGGTACGTCTAGTTTTTTCCTTGTCACCGTGTTTGATTTTGCGAAAGACATATTGAGGGACATACATAATAGTACATATGTGTACATATATGCAAATATTTGGACATCGAATGAAAGAGGCAATTTCAAGATATTCACATATAGACATATAAACATTGAAGCAAGTAAACAACAATACTGTTTGAGTTCACAGATTAGACAAATATGTTCTAATATCATCTATGGTGATGCTTGTATAGCACACTTCCTTATTGCAATGAAATGTTTTGCCTAAGTTCAAATCCTATCATATTTTATATACTATACTATTTTTATTTTTATACTCTTTTTATTAAATGATTTTGAATTCTATTTTGTTATTTTCCTCATTATTTATATTTTCTTGTCGGAGGTCAATTACTTTCGTTTTATTATTTCAATTTTTGTTTTATGCATGACCAATGAACATCTGTGCATATGTATGTGTATACATTTTGCTTATAGAGTGGTGTAGTTCGTTTCGTACCCTGATAGTTGTGGTGAAATTTTATTTTCCAATTTGCGCGTTTTCGATGTTCCTTCTTAGCAATTAACATTTTAGTACTGCTAACATTTGCTCCTTCTCTATTCATTTACGTTCTCTGACGTTAGTCATAGTTATAAGTAGAACGTTCCGTTAGCTAATAGTAATTAAAATTTTACAAAAATAATTGAAATCCAAATTTTCATTAACTAGTAAACCCTTTTCAATTCAATATAAAAATGAATGAAATTGAATTTGAATGTCTTCAGTAAAATTGAAGAATCAGCAAAATTTCAATTTTACAATTTGTATCACTGAAAATCCTACCATCCCCCTCGCGTTTGTATGTTGCACAAAGCTGCTTCTCACAACATTTGCTAAAAATCAGAAATTGAAGAATTTGTCTGATGTTCACTTCAAAAGGAGAATTGGCAACATGACCTCTTAGCGAGTTTAAATAATATTTATATTTTGCATATTATTCCATATGGCATTAAATTAAAAATTATATAAAATTGACATGTATATGAAATCATTAACTACTTCTATACTCTCCTAAGCATGCATATATTGCTTTATGTTTACTTATTATTATTATTTCATAGTTTGTCGATTTAGCCCATTTTTATCTAAATACGACGCTATGAAATGCAGCCCAATTGGTAATCGCACTATTTCAAAGAGCATAATCATTTTCAACGCAAAGCCCTGCAAAAGGACAAACGAGACAACAGCCGATCGACATTGTCGTAAAATTGTTGATTATAACAAATTTGTCAACTCCGCCACGATGCGAAAATTGGCGTCAATATGTATGCGAGCTCATATGTATATATGTATGTTTGTCGACAAAATCGTCATTTGGTTACTTTCAACAACACAATGTCCGCGCGAACTCGCCGTTATTTCGTTGTTGCCACCTATACACAGAGGCGTTCTAACTGAGGACTCTTAGTATATTATTATGTTGCTTAATTTGTATTGAAAAATACTGATGCATTTATGAATTATTTTACATAATATATATTATATATATATATAAATACATAAACTCATACCTATAATCGTTTTTAAACTAAATTCGATAAATAAAATATATATCTGAAATAATTATGTGGCAGTGCGCCCCAATCCCTCCTTGCCTGCGATCGTTCAACTTGCAAAAAGCAAAAGTGTGTACAAAAGTCATTGCTTGTGCGCAGAAGAAGCAAGCATCAGCGTACGTGTATTTAAGAATGAATGTGTGATTATCACATTTGTGTAAATACGCATAATAAGGAAATATTCAATAACCTAAACATATAAACATATGAACATATTTTCCTGAATATTTTAATTATCTCTGAAAGTAAAATATGCTATTAAAAGAGAATTATGATATGCTTAGACTCCAATTAATAAAATAAAAATTAAATAAAATTTGCCTATAAATGGAAACCGCGACCCAGAATACAGTTTTATTTTATCTTTGTTTAATAAGTCATATTATCACAACACACATAAGAATTGGAAAAATGCCTATTAAATGTTATTTTATTATGAATTCTGGGGTTTTAGTAATTTTTTAATTCAGAAGGCTTTTCATAATTATAATTGTCATAATATAATGAAAACATAAATCTAAAATATGCGCAACGATTTTCATATAGGAATATTCGTTGTGTCTATTTATAGCATTTCGCATATTGGTGGTGTATTTTTTTTCGAAGTTATACTTTTCGATGTTCCCTCTTGTGAATTACAAATTAGTACTCAAAAGTTTCATTTAACATTTGCTCCTTCTCTATTCATAACATTCTCTGATTTAATATCGTCTGCTTGCTATATAGCACACTTCTTTATGGCAATGCCGTCTTTTACCTAAGTTCATATCCTATCACATATTTTATTTACTCTTTTCTTTATTTTTTAACTCTTTTTTTAAATGATTTGAATCTTATTTTAATCTATTTATCCCTATTTATATTTTCTGTCGCAGAGTCAATTACTTTCTGTTTTATTTTGCTAATTTTGTTTATGCATACTAGAACATCTGGCTATGTATGTGTATACATTTTGTATAGAGTGAGTGTGGTCGTTCTGCCTGATGTTGTGGTGAAATTTTATTTTCCAATTTGCTGTTTTCGATGTTCCTCATCAATTAACATTTAGTACTGCTAACATTTGCTCCTTCTATTCATTACGTTCTCGACGTTATCATAGTTATAAGTGGAACGTTCCGTTAGGCTAATAGTAATTGAAATTTACAAAATAATTGAATCAAATTTTCATTAACTAGTAACCCTTTTCAATTCAGTATAAAAATGAATGTGTTGAGATGTCTTCGAGTAAAATTGAAGAATCAGCAAAATTTCAGTTTACAATTTGTATCACTGAAAATCCTACCATCCCCTCGCGTTTGTATGTTGCTCAAGCTGCTTCCTCACTTATTTCTAAAATCAGAAATTGAAGAATTTATCTGATGTTCACTTCAAAAGGAGAATTGGCAACATGACCTCTGAAGCAGTTTAAATAATATTTATTTTTCGTATTATCACTTTATGGCTAATACAAATTATGTAAAATTGCAGTCATTGAATCGTAAC